TACAAAGTACTGCACTTTTTATACACTTTTGTTTAAAAAATTCGCGTAAAAGATTAACTACGTTAAAAGCTAAACAACTTTGATTGTATGTCCATGTACTGGCTACGACGTTTTTGTGCCTATGACCTTAAGTTGGACAAGAGCTTCACGTCTGTCAGACTACTACGAAATCGTAAGGTGTACTTGGACAGCTAATTTTACATTGTAAAAATTTTTTTTGTCCACGATTACATTAGAAATGTTGTTAAATAATGTAAAAGTTTTAAAATAATACCATACAGCATGCATACAAATGCATTGGATTAATTTTAACGAGCATTACCTATTATCAAAATCATAGAAAACGGAGAAAAATTATCACACTCTTATGGCGCCTACGGTGAAATTTAGAATCATTTGCTTGTATTAAATTTTGCTGAAATTTATTAAAAAATTTAAGTATATCATCAATAATAATCATAGCAATACTATTACGTTTTTTAAAATATCTCTTTTTTATTTGCTACAATGACTGATTTTCCACTGTCCAAGTATCGGTCTGAATTTCAGTTTTGTCCAAGTATTGGGCGTTTTATCTTACACCAGTAGCCTATTTATATGATATCCTAGTGATTAGGTCGTATTAAGGTAGTAGTCGATCAAAAACACTTTTCTTACGATTTTTCTAAAATTTTGTGTGTGCCTTTAATTTGAAGAGGCTTAGCGGTATAGTTTTGGAGATATTAAAGTTTTAATGTTGAACTTTTAACACAGGAGGTATAGGAAAGCGCCGGATTGGGGGTCGATTTGTGAACGAAATTACTTATATCTCTAAAACGCTTCTTACAATGTTTCGTAAAAAATAGTATGATATAATTTATATTATAAAGCAACTGTGGTTTCAATTTAAAAGGGCTCAGCGGTATAGTTTTGTTGTTCGAGCTTTGCAAAGTTGATAAATTCAGTGAAATTCGCTCCTACAACGTTGTCATTTTTCGAGATAGTTGTCGAAGCGATATATATAGTATACGCATACGCTACAGCGCATTATGGCACGCACTGTAGAGTGCTCGACTACTACCTTAAAAACATCACCTAGTTACCTGATTACCCAGGAGGAAGTAATGGAGCGGAGTCTTGAATCCGAGCCCTCCAAGCGGGAAGCAAGTGCTCTACCACCTTAGGGTGAGATTACATGGAGTCTGGCAGTCTGCAGACTGGCAGACTCGTTCCCATTACAGCCCACTAGAGTGAGAGAGAGGTCCGATCAAATGACCACTACAATTCTCGATAACGTGATCAAATGATCACTACAATTCTTGATAACGTGATCGGACCTCTCTCTCACTCTAGTGGGCTGTAATGGGAGCGAGTGTGACAGTCTACAGACTGCCAGACTCCATGTAATCTCACCCTTAGCCACTACTGCACACTATTTATAGTGAAATTAGGAAGTACCTGTAGCTAACATGACACTGTTGGCTGCTCTGCGTGATTTTA